AGTAAAATAAGACCATCTCCAAAAATCAAAGACCAAATGTTCTTTTTGATATACGAATGGCTATCACACAATAAGGAGGTGGGGGAATGAAATTTCATTGGATTAGACAAAGACAAATTAAGAGAAGGAAGGAGATGGGAATCAGAAAGACAAGTAGAATGAATCAGATATAACTTTCCGATGTTCTTACATGAATACATGACCAGTGTAACATCATGTACAACCACAAGAATAGAATCTTAATTAGGATCAGTTACACTCTTTGTATGTCTAATAGGTCAAAATACATACCATTGTCACATATGTCTAAAAGAACAAATAATTTACAAAAGAAAAAAGAAAGGAAAAACACCAGTGAGACAGTATCACTACCCTTTTCCTGATAGTAGTAGGAAAGCTTTAACTTTCTTAGCATTAAGTATGGTTTTGGCTTGTAGGCTGGGTGAATGTTCTTCATCATGATGAAGAAATTAACTTCTATTATTCTTTGGCTGAGATGTTCTGTTATGAATGGGTGCTGAAATTTACCAAATGCTTTCCTGCATACGTTGATACGATCCTGTCATTTTTCATCTTTTGCTCGATAATGTGATGGATTATATTCATTAATTTTCAAATGTTGGACAAGCCTTGCATTCTTGGAATAAATCCCACTTGGTCATGGTACATAATTATTATTATATTTAAAAAAAGAATAAAAATTTCCCGACTACCAGTCTTGGCTCTGTTAAGACACTGAATCTTTCTGATCCTCTGTTTTCTCAACTATAAACTGGGATAATGACACTTGCCCTCTCAACACTGTCAAGAAGATCAAATAAGATTCTCCGTATGGAAACTCTTTCTAAAGTATCAAAAAATATTTAGAGGTGGTAGAGTGCTTGCCTAGCATGTGTGAGGCACTGGTTTGATCCTTAGCACCACAAAAAAATGAACAAATAAAATAACAGGCATGCTGGCCATCTACAACCATAAAAAAATTTAAAAAAACATATTTAGAAAGAACTGTTTGCAATCTCATGCTCAGTATTCATTTACGTATTCATTTTAATAGCTTAAGAAAATCAACTGGTTTCTCTATATGTAGAAGCTAGACCAAAATAAGGGGAAAATATAAATAAAGAAAATTGGGTGTGTGTTGGGGGAGTAGATTCCAGGAAATAGTAGAGGAAGGGGATTGAGGGGAAGGGAGGAGGGGTTGGGAAGGGAGAAACAATAGAATGAATCTAGCCAAATTTCCCTATGTACATATGTGCATATACTACAGTGACTTTCATCTTTTTTAAAAATATATTTTAGTTGTCAATGAACATTTATTTATATGCAGTGCTGAGTAATCAACCCAGTGCCTCACACGCTAAGCAAGTGCTCTACCACTGAGCCACTACTCCAGGCCCGAGTTTCATCTTTATATATATCCATAACGTATTCATTTAATAAAAACTATAAATAAATAGGAGAAAAGTCAGGAGACTAGAGGAAATGGAAAAGGAGAGAAGAGGGGAGAGAAAAGGGAAGAAATGAGAAATGAATTGGAGCAAGTTATATCCCATGCTTGTATAATTATGTCCAAATGGACCCTAATATTATGTATAACTGTAGGGAACTAATGAAAAAACTGACTAAAAAAAGAAAAGAGCATTAACTGGAAAGCCGAGTTTCTCTTTATTTACTCCACTCCTGTCCAGCCTGGGCTTGTTTCAGTTTCTCATATAAAATATATCAATCAGGAAGCTTTTGGCTGAAGGAATGGAATATCACATCCAAAATGGCGTCCACAGTAGGTTATTCTCCCACAGCACTGAGCCCATGGACAGGAAGGGCTCCAGGTGCTGYAGGTCAGGCCTGGGTCTCTATAGCCTTTGGCACTGATCCTGATACGGACACTGTCATCCTCATCCTTGCTGCTAGGTGGCTGTGGTGGTTCCAGGGACCACAGAGAGAAGGTAGCTGCTTCTTCATGTGTGTCTCTAATCTAGGGACTTTTCAAGAAAACCCCTCCAGTTTTAGTGATTAGAGCTCATCCTAGGTGTGTCCATTAACCAATCTCTGGCACGGAGGGATGAAATCTGTGAGGTTGGCTGAGTTACTCAGGACTTGTTCTTGAGCTAGAGGTAGGGTGATTTCCCACAAGGCTACAATGATCTCAAAATGATGAGGGGCTGACTGCGTCACCAGGCCCATGACTTGAGTGCATATCACTGACTTTGACCACCAGCATGTGTTTTTTTTTTTTTTTTTTTTTGCTTGCAAACTTTTGCCCATCTTTGGAGACTGCTTTGCTGACCACGAAGTCAGCAGGTAATGTTTTCCTACCCTAGGAATCCTCAATCAAGGACTGATGACAACATGCATGCTTCTCCAACTAAATTGTCCACTTTCTGGATACACTGACTGTGGAAATCAGAGCATTTGTACCCTGGATTCAAGATGGAAAGCAAATCAAAATGCCCCCCCCAAGGGTACAATGCCCTGATTTCCTCATCCTAGGGTGAGATAACTCTCTGGGGCTTGCTATATCCTGGCTCCTGGAATCTCCTCAGCAGAATTAAGCTCCAGGTGGCTACCACAGCAGCTGGCTTGACCACACACCCTTACCGGCTGCCTTTCTTTCCCTGTCTCACTTTTCTAGACCTCGAGGGTATATTTCTTTCCCTTCTTTTGACTTCCGATCTCAGAGCTGGCTTCTTGGGAAAATCAAAGATGCTCTGCGCCATATGTCAGACTCCTTCCTGAATCCTGAGGCTTTGTGTATAACGTTCCCATCTGCTCAGAACCTGTTTCCTCTTTCTTCTCACCTGCTGTACTCTCACTCTCCCTTCACGTTTCAGTGGAAATGTCACTCTCCTTGGGAAGCCTTCTTTGACCTCCTTCCACCTGGTGCCGGTCTCCCAAGGATCACTCTCCTGTTCTGCACTCGACCGTGCTTAGGACAGCTGCCATTTATTCGTTTGCATTATGATTTGCTTTCCATCTTGAATCCAGGCTGACTGTGAGCTGTTTGAGGGCAGGAACAATGTTTTTGGCTCACGAATATATTACTGGCATCCAGCATAATGTCTGGCACAGAAGAGAGAGCCAAACACTCTGTGGCTTTTGGAAAGATGATTCTTTCCAAAGAGAAGACTAAAGATGTACGTTTGGGGGTTCAGTCACATACACAGAATGATTAAAGCTTTGGATGGAAAATATTAATGCGGCGACTTCTACATAGATCAATATTTAGTTCTTGTCACAAAATGTAATGTTTCTCTGGGAAGGATGCCTATTATCTAYGGGAGAATCCTGGTATGGCTCATTTATATCTGAAGAAAATATCATTTTAATCACATTTTAGTTTTTTTAAAAAATAGAAACAGGATTCCACCCTAAATCCACAATTTGTTCATTTGAAACCTACTTATATTTGACTCTGTATGTAGCTGGAAAATAGAACTATCTGCCACCAACTCTTCTCAAAATCATTAGGGAGATATTTATTAATGGAAAATATGCTAGGTTCTCTGTTTCTATTTCTGCCCCCTTCAACTATATTTCCACATTGGGATTTTTGGTTTTCATTAAAGAAACAAGAAACAATCCTATTAAATCAACCTGTTTTCACTGGAAAAGAACAACGCTATTTTGTCACTCAGTACCCACTTGGGAGAAACTTGGTGATAAGTGGCATGAAGCAGAGTGAGTACAAATTAACAAATAAACTCAGATTTTTGTCATCTCTTTGCCAGGTGGGCTCTTTCTTACAAATCCTTAAGCTAGACTTATCCTTCAGTAGGGAAAAAGTCTAGTGAATCTAGGTTTTATGTGGCTTCAGACTCATCCAGTTCAGAATCCCTCCTTGAGAAAAAAATAAAAAAATGCCAAACTATAAATAAAAATGTAACACGGAGCCTTGGAAGACACCCCTGTGACTGAGGGGCTCTGAAGTTTAATCTTCTCTAGTTTCATAGAAAATCAGCATTTAACCTTGATTCAGTGAAATTGGGTTCTTCCCGCTGCACACCCGACTTGTCTGTCCTGATCACTATGATTTGTTCGTGTGCTTTATTACCAGGAAGCCTTCCCTCCTTCTCCTACTTCAACCCTGGGCCATATTTTTTTCGAAGGTGACTTCCACCATTCCTTCTTGGACTGTAGCCAGCTGAAAAGATCTGCCTTCCTAAATGCTCACAGCACCAGATATGGAGCCCAGCATATTTTGCCATGAATCGCTCTATTTGAGGTGCATCTATCATGCTTCTCCAACTAAACTGTCCACTTTCTGGATGCATTGAATGCTCCCCCCAACCCATTAGATCCCACTTCAACACTTATTACAGTTCTGGGTTTAGCAGGAAGGGAAGGAAAAAAAGGAAAGGTACTATACAAAGAAAAATGATGGCATTTGGAATCACACAGGAGGGTGGGGCCCTGGCTCTGCCATTTATGAGTGCAAGGTCTTCACCAAGTCACTTAATCTGATTTCTCACTGATTACATAAACATAATAATGACATTTATTTCACATTAATTGCTAGGATCACATTAAAGCATTTATTCATTTGCCAAGTATTCATTGAGCTCCTCCTTTGGCCCGTTTTTTGGCACCAGAGACTTGAGAAAAAAAAAAAAAACAACAACATGAGTGAGAAATCCTCCCTGTGAGAGAATTCTCACCGTGGAGTTGGGAGATAGAAGTTGGCAATAGGACCGACGGAGGCTGCGACAGACCCATGAACAGAGCATGGAACCGCACAGATAGTAAGCTCCCAATAAAGATGAATAAATGACCGGAATCATGAGGGCATTCAGAAAATTATTAATTTTGCAAAATAGGTTTGTAGGATCATCTTTACAGAGATATAATGGACATGGCAATGCCTGGGGTGTTGCAAAATGCTAACTGTTAAAGAAAGCAAAAAGAAAGCAAAGATTTATAGGCGAGGAGGAAAAAAGGGGAAAACGAGGGAGAAAGAAAGGTCCAAAGGAGCCAAGGAGGAGGGAGAGACTCTGTGGACTCACCTGGCCCAGGGTGCACTCCATGCCCCCCAGGAAGTCAGCCTCCTTCAGCCCATTGTGGTTGCTGCTGATGTCATGGACTTCAAACCGCAGGCGCTGAACCTCTTCAAAGTAAAAGTCCACAGTAAACAGTTTTGAGTACACTGGGTTTATGCAGGTACGAATCACCTCTGTCCTGTCAACCTGCAAGGAGAAAGAAAAAAAAAAAACTATCAGGGATTAGGGCTTTTTATTTTTAGCCTTCAAACAAATTAATCTCGTGGTATGTCCCCTTCTTTCAAACTGTGAATGATGGCCACAAAGTCACCAGGGTGGGCAGTTTGAAAGTAATTACCTGGCCACCTGCCAAAAATGAGCCAGGTTTCAAGGTAGAAAAACTTTTTAGACATAATAAAGAATCTGAGGTTCGTATTTGAAGGTTTAGGACATCTTATATTATCAGGTGACAGGGTAAGATGGATCAATCATTACTGGCTGCCTGGACCATTAGTGCAGGAGAGTCAGAGGCTTGAATGAGCCTCTGAGCTCAGGGCGGAAAGAAATCTGTAATCAATGATGTCTGATGGGTATAGTAAAGGGACCAGGGTAGGGGTCCCATCGTAGCCAACTCTAATAGGAATGTCCTAACTAATGAAGTAGAAGGGCCATGAGAGGAGAATAAAGATGACACTTTGGTTTCAAGTGTGCCTTTTATTAGGAATATAATGTTTACTCATTTCAAATTCCTTAGGCAACTGTTTCCTCATCAGCAAAATAAAAATCAGAAGATAAGGGGATGAAAAAAGTCATTTCTTGATCTAATGTTTCATGAGCTGTGATCCCTTTGCCTTCTGTGATGATAACTCTCCATGTGTTCTCTTCTTCCAGATCCATATCGGCCACTTTGGGTGTCTGCCGCAGTCTGGCTGGGCACAATTCAGGAGCCACTTGTCAAAAGAAACGAACTTTATTTTTAGAACCACACAGGCCAAACAAAACAGCTCCTCAGGAAAAACCCTCAGAGCCCAACTGCCACCACCGGCTTCCCACAAGCCTCTCACACAAACACACACGCCTCCCCCATTCCCCCAATCCTCCTGCTCTTGAGGCCGATTGGCTCGGTCGCGTAGGTGGAGCCAAAGAAGTCCCCCAATGAGCAGCTCCGTGGTCTGAAAGGGCAGGGAAACAGCCCAATGAACACCACCGCAGAGGAGCCAATCAGCTAGATGTTGCTGGGCCGCTGTGAGCCAATCATCAGCTGGCAGCTGGAAGTTTGCTGGGGCCCCTTTGGCTGTGGCTCTCAACAGGTGTCCTACTCTGAGACCCAGGAAATTGACCTCTATGAACTGAATTTCCTGGGTTCTCTTGTCCTCTGGGTTCTGGTTGGAGTCAGCAGATGAGAGAGAGAGGACAGAGTGGAGCAGGCACCCTCTACACACATGCACGCTGCTAGCAGACCACCTTCCACCAAGAGACCTTTTGCTGGACTTGACCACACGGTCCTTCCCCTCCTGTCTCCACCCTTCAGATTGAGGGGTGGTCATGACTTTCTGTTGTTGCCATCTCCGAGATCTCTGATGCTTTACTTGCCTTTGTTGGCTCTTTTAACCCTGCCCCTTTCCCCATGAAGAATTCCTCTGTAAAGAGCTTCACAGAAAGGGTTAAGCGATCTGTTTTCTGCTGGGATCCTTACCACTCTGTATTTGTTATAAGTAAAAATACACAAAACCATTTATATTCTGAGAAGCCTTTAAGGACCAAGGGATTGATAATCCAAGATCCCACTGCATCATTCAAATGGAGACACCCAGCCTTTATAGCGGGGTGGAATATACAGCTGGAACCTATATACTCTGTTGCTTTTCAAAAGGAAATGTAGTTTATTGGATACTTCCCAAGCACCATTCATTAGCACACAGATGAAACCATTTCTCTTACTTTCAATGAGTAAAGGGAAATAAAGAATCTTATAGTTTGTATTTGAAGATTTAGGACACATTATATTATCAGGTGACAGGGTAAGATGCATCAATCATCACTGGCTGCCTGGACCATTAGTGCAGGAGAGTCAGAGGCTTGAATAAGACATCCCAATAAAATAAGTGGAAGGTAGTCCTTGGCCATATCATGCATGCCCATATTGCCCAGTGAAGAAAATTTGACACTCCAGCCTCCCCTGACACTCGGAAGTACAATGCTTTAACTCTGGCTCTGGCTATTCTAGTTGCTATGTAGGGCTCTGTTTGAAAGAACTGTCCTTTAAAGGAAGGACAATGGCCATGCTTGGAGGTGGGGCAGGTGGGGAGAGACAATCCAAGTTGCAAGGAGAAGAACACAGTTCTTGTTATATCCCTGTCCAATAGACAGGCAGACAGAAAACCCATCTCGGCTTGAAATCCAATCTCCAGTCCACTGTTGATTAGTATTTTATGAGTTATTGTTCATAGCAATAGTTATTTAACTATTGTGGCTTCCCATGGAGACCCAGCCTCTCTTTTAGCTAAAAATACCACTTGCTATGTGAGTACCAGGATTTACTGGTTTGATGTAATTTTTTTTAGTTGTTTAGAGATTATAGCTTTACATAACAGTATATAAAGAGGTCACAAACTTGTGGTCTACAAGTATAAGCCAACTTGGAAATATTTCATTTATCTTAATTAAGTACTTTTTTCTTAATTAGCCAACATGTAAGGGGATGTCTCTATTGCCCTGTCTTTGGGCGAAAAGGAGACTATCTGGCACCTTGGGCCATATACCTACAGGGACACAACTGGGGACTGCCCACTCCGAGCATCCACTATCTAGTTCTCATAATTCCTTCCAGACCCTTCTCTCTATTGAACTCCCCCACATTCCCCCTGAGGTATTTTTGCAACAGCTGGTCCAAATGAATGGAATAATGAGTCATCTAAGAGATTTAATTATATTCATGTGGTGCCTTTGGATAGAGGATTTCAAAATAACCCCCAAGAAATAAGTTATAAGTAGATTTGACATCCTCAGGACACAGAAAATACATCTTCTCTCCTTGTGGCTGGAAGAAGAGAGTCCTGGGAGATTTCCAATGATGAGAGATGGGAGATAGAAACTATATATATATATATATATATATATATATATATATTTTTTTTTTTGTTGTTGTTGTTGTTGTTGTTGTTGTTGTTGTTACTCTGCTCTAACCATCCCCAATGGCACAAATGTGTGATGTTGACCGATTCTGCTGCTCTTCTTCACGTTTCTGGGTTTTCAATAGGCATTCCCACATCAATATGAAGTTCAAATTGGCATCGAGGTGCACACCTTGGCCATTTGAAGTAAGCTATCAGTATGTAACACTGATCTGTAGGGTTTTGTTGTTGTTTTATTTCTAGGAAATGACACAGTGGAAAGTAATTAAGCAATACACATTTGCCTTGCCAAGGTAGACAATATCCAAGGATAATCTCAGGTCAGTAAGAACTAAGAGCAAAAGTGCTCAGGGAAAGAACAAGTGTGAGAACAAGGAAAGGGCTTGGGATACTAAATGCATATTAAGATATTTCAAAGTGTTCTGCATTCCCATCTTTAGGGGAGATGCTGTATCTTTTCTGTAGGTTGAAGCCAGGTTTCACTTGAATGACAGAGACTAGGACAGCTCCTATTTCTCATTGAGATGTGTCAAGGTCAAGGCAGTTCTTTCCAAAAGATCTTCCACTTAACTGGTGCTCCCCGTTGCAGCAGAATCAACCAGGGGAGCTAGCTTTCTTTCTCTCTTCCCTGTCTTTTTTTATTGGTACATTACAATGATATATAATAGTGGAATTCATCATTACATATTCAGACATGTACACAATACAACAATATAATTTTTATCATTTCAGTCCCTAGCACCTCACTTTTTCCTCTCCTCCTCTCTTGGGGGAGTTTTCTTTCCTTTTTTWAAAAAAATTATTTATTTATTCTAATTTGTTATACATGAGAGCAGAATGCATTTCGATTCATAGTACACATATACAGAACAAGTTTTCATATCTTTGGCTGTACACAAACTAGAGTCACACATACATGTAATTAGGATAATGATGTCCATCTCATTCTACCATCTTTCCTATCCCCAGCCTCTCTTTCTTTCCCTCCCTCCCCTTTGCCCTATCCAAAGTTTCTCCATTCCTCTTGGGGGAGTTTTCTTTAAAAATCGATTACTGTTGGGCATGGTGGTGCATGCCTGTAATTCCAGTGGCTTGAGAGGCTGAGATAGGAGGATGGTGAGTTCAGCCTCAGCAACTTAGTGAAGTTCTAAGTAATTTAGGGAGACCCTGTTTCTAAATAAAACATTAAAAAGGGCTGGGGATGTGACTCGGTGGTTAAGTGCCCCTAGGTTCAATCCCTGGTACCCAAAAATAAAAATCAATTCCTCTTTTTGCCCCCAGATGATTCTGATTCGGTGAGTGTTTTAGTTGGCTATGCATTGCCGTGACCAAAAGATCTTACAAGAAAAACTCAGAGGAGAAAAAGTTTATTCTGGCTCATAGTTTCACACGTTCACTCTGTCACTGACTTACTCCGTGGCTCTGGGCCAGAGGCGGAACAGAACATCTTGGAGGAAGGGCGTGGTAGAGGAAGCAGCCAGAGCTCTGCTTAGGGTCAAAAAATAAACCCTAAAAGCACACCCTTGTGACCTACTTTCTCCAGCCACATCCCACCAGCCTACTATTACGGCCAAGTTAATCCATCTCATGGATGAATGCACTGTTTAGGTTACAACTCTCATATTCTAATCCTTTCACCTCTAAACCTTCTTACATTGTCTCACACATGAGCTTTTGGGGAATACCTCATATCTAAACCATAAAAGTGAGTGAGCATTGGGTAGGAAATATCAGTCTAGGGAGAAAGAGGAGGCGTAGGGTTTATCCCTTGCTCCTATGTGAGGTGAGAGGGGTTTTTTTTTGTTTTGTTTTGTTTTTGCTTGTTTGTTTTTAATCCTTGTTTTCTTGTCAAAATTTATTTTAATCTTGCTGGCCCTCTGTTACCCAGTCTGCAAAAACTGTGGAGCCTATTCCCTCTCTTCCTTTGTCATAATTAATGAGATATTCACATTGTTTTATGGTTTACAGAACATGCTCTTTTATCCACTTACAAAGTTTAATTCTTAGAGGAATCATGTGGTGTACCTTTATATTATTTTATGTGTAAAAATTCAAGGTCAGCACAAGGCACTG